AGCTACTTTCCAGAATGCACAAGCCCTTGAGCTGGAGCCCTTATTGTCTGGTGCTTCAAGTTATTTGTTTATGAAAAATGGTAGTTTGAAATTAAGTACACCAAGTGGAAGCTTTTGCTATCTTCACAATGATGCCTTTTTGCAGTTCTGAGTGATCTGACTGCCTTGCAAGCCTCATCAGTTCCCAGCATCCATAAACAATTGCTTTTGTCTCTGGAAGTGAAAAAAGACAGAAGAGGTGGAAACCCCAGGATAACAGGGTCTCTATTGAACTTCCTTGGCTCAGAAGAGCTGACAGGCCAAGGAAGCCAAAGTTTTAGAAATGTTTCAGATAGAGAGATGGCAAGGGGTTGGTCACTATAGAAATATGCCAACTAGCATTTGCTGTGCAATGGGCAGTGCCAGGCTGCTTTTGTTTAGTTCAGCCTAGTTCTAAACTAGAGGATGATTCGAGTTTTTTTCCCTGTACTGCTTCTCATGGTGGATGTAGAATCTGCATTCAGAGCAATTACTGCACTGCAGCCACTGATACCGATTTGTGAAGCTCTCAAGTGCAGATTGCTACTTAGCAGGCTTGATGGTGATTAAAATTTTAGGAACCAACTTTGTAATAGGACTGTGGGGGTTCTACATTTTTCATAATGTGTGCATCTTCTGTGTAAAGGCAGTGGGGTCACTGTCTTGCACTCCCCTTGGCTTGTTTAAATCCTCATTTTCCCAGAAGATTTTTTTGTCTTTTTTTTTTCTCTTTTCCTTTTACTCTTTTTGAAACATCCAGGCAATTATAGCAACCAAACACAAAAAGCTAATTGCAAAAATACAATAGACACTGTTCAGCAGAAAGTGTTACAAGCATATCCCTAGTGTACTGAAGTTTCAGGGAGTATTACAGAAAGCCTGGGACTAAAGGGATGGACAAAGGGCATGCTGGCATTTTACCATAAAGTGAAAACATAGACTGCGGCAAGAAGAAAAGTTTGTGGATATATGAGTGATTGGTTTTTGAGAATGGATGCTGAAAGAGAAGAATAGAATCAAGAAATATGAGAAGGAAGTGCTGCCTGCATATAGCTAATAAAAGTTGCTCAGAATAGGGCATTGCAAAGTTTTGGACTGCTCTTTATTTTTAGAGAAATTTCTGAGAGAAATCAGTAACTGAGTGATGTTCATCCCTACCCCTGTTCTTTGCAGGGTGCTTGGTTTATAAGCTATCAAACGCACTTTCCCTTGTTTAGCTTGTGAAGCGTACAGTGACCAGGTTGCATTGACCATGTGCACAAAAGGTAATGGAGTAGAGTGGGAAGTTGTATCAAGTTAGAAACACTGAGTTTGAGGCTTTGGTGTTATCTAGGGCAAATCCAGCATGTAGTTTCCTTCTTCCATGTGTGAATCTTGCATTTATTGATCACTCTAGCTTTGGTATAAGAACCTTCAAATCCAGTTATCAGTCAGGACTGGATTTTCTTTGTAATCAGTAAGGTTTATTCATTTTGTTTCATACTGATGCCATGGGGTTCACACCGTTCCTTAGTAATACTCAGGCTTGTGGAAGTACATTGTCTTCCTCAGCTTCTAAGGATAATTCTTTTTTCCCCCAACCAAATGAAAAAGGCAAGAAAACCCACTAATAGTGTAGCTGCATGCTCAGTTGTGTTGTGACAGATGTGGCTGACACACTAAAAATTTAGTATTTCTGATGTATATTTCACAGTTCCTAACACTGTGTTTCCAGTAGATGCTTTAAGAACTGATTGTCCTATGCATGTAAAAGGATATGTCTATCTTCCTACAGAGTGCATGTTCTCAGGTGCAGTGCAACCAAGATCATGGTATTTATCTCCTGTAAATGCTCATTGTGGTCAATATTGCATTTTTGAATGTCTCCTAGGCTTTTACATGCCATATAGTAAATAATAAAGCTGAGGTAAGCTATATAAAACATTACTCTCCCAGAGAGAAAGTGGTCCAGGACATTCTCTTTCCCCTTTACTTACAATCCATAGTTTATCTGCAATTCATGTTTTTAAATGTAGGTAATAAACATATTTCAGGTCTCTTCAGTTACCTGCTTTGGGACCTTTATGTGATCACATGTGGGTGTCTGTAGTGTAGGTGTCCAGACATCTTACATTCAATGGAGAGAAACAGCCCTTTGTAAGATAAAGTTTGTTTTTTCATAAAGTCATTTCTAATACTGTTCAAGATGAGCCACCCTGCAAAATTGGCTGTTTCTCCTCACTGCCTGCAAAGAGAGTCCAGTGTGACTAGCTCAGAGTTAAATATCTGTAGTGTATAGCGGGGTAAAATGAATATTACTTTATGTGGCTTTTCAGGTGGTATGGAGGGATGTATAGAGAAATATCACAGGGCTACCATGGAACAAGACAGCACGATACAAAAAAATATGACATTAAAAAAATTCTGGTCAGTAAGCTCTCAGCAGAATCCAGATGGGAGTGGTACGTTTCTGGATGTCAGCTGTGTATGGCTAATACTGATTTGAGCAGACATGTATTTGTATTTTGCCTGTCCCTTGAAACTGATTGTTCATGTTATCATTTAATATTATGGGCCTGACTGTGACTTTGTGCTGCCACAAGTAAATTAAGCCTATTATATATCAAAGCAATGGAATGTGTATTTTCTAAGGTAGGAAGAAAGATCTAGTAGATAGAAAGACCTGGATATGGTTCTTGCCTCTGCTTCAGATGTTCTATTTGACTTTAGGAACTCCCTTAGATTCTCTGGGCCTTTGTTTTCATCTTTCTTTGTCATCAGATTTCTAAGCTGCAGAGATTAGGAGATATCAAAAGAAAGGAAGCCCTTGAGTAGATGAATAATGTTTATCACCAGTCATGTTTCAGCCATCCTTGTTCTGTACATCCTTGGGACAACTGATGGCTTAATTCTGCCTTGAGTTGAAGCTTCTGCAGGCCCAATACTGGCTGTCGTAGTGTGAGACTAAGTAATATGCAGGTCATTACAGCTGTAGCCTTCTAACTTTCAAGGCTTGGTGGGTCCAGATATTTATATACTGCTCTTAAAACATTTAAGAGTTTGGTGTAAATTATGGCTCATATCACAAATGAAAACAACAGTGACAATCACATCCCATCCATCAGTGAGTCTCAGAATGTCTCATTCTGAATTAGCTGTCTTTGCCTGAGAAGATGCAATAGAGGTGTTTCCTGGGGTCAGAATAGCACTGTGAGAAGGAAACTCACAAAGCACCTGACTGTAGACTCATAGGCTTTAACTACGGCAAGTTCTTTGCTGGATGAATACCATTGTTGTGTGATGAAGTGTTGAAGTCTGTGGAATATAATCCTTGCTTCTTTGGAGAGTTCACAACCCCATGGGGCTGTGTGAGGTCAGGAGGAAGAATGTACTGACAAAGACACTACTGTGTCTTCTGTAATAGCCCAGTTCAGGTGTGCTTAAAGCCCGCTTGAATAAACAAGAATAAAAAGGAGATATGCCAAATTACAAGCTTAGTCCTTCTGCAATTTTTTAGAGCTGTTTGTCACTGGCATCTATCTATCTTGAACTGAATAGTAACTAGCAGGCCCAGCATTTTGGCCCTAAATCTGCTGATGATAGCAGGTAAAGGAAAAACGCTCTAGGAAGGTACTCCCTTCCCACCCACTTGGTGTCAATTATCAGGAAGCAGAGATTTTAAATGGAAGTTGAATGTTTAGGAGAAAAAGACCTTGCCATAAATGTTATTAAAAATGGAGAAGAGGTGAAAGCAATGCTGGCTCAGAGTCTTTTCTGAAATTCCAGTCCCCAGCAAAGGAGAACAAAAACCTTTTCTAGCTAGAGAATTGTTACAGACTTTGTCAAGCAAAGCTAAGGATTAATCACAACACAAATAGTCTTACTATCATTAACATTTTTATAATGGTTATTAGTTAATGTGCATGATGATTAAGGGCTGGAGCTGCCTCTGACTGCAGTCAGTGGGAACTGAATTAAGGTCTAAATCACTGTTTGAACCTCACTTTTGATTTCCTGAAAAATAATGAGGCTTTGAACAGAATAGCATCTAATTTGTCTATCACTGGAAATTAATGTTTCTCTTGCTTAAGGACCTGTTAACTTGGAGGTCAGGCAGCTAACAAGAAACTGGTTGTTTAACCCTTAGCCTTAATCTAGGATTATGACTTGGACGATAGGACCAAGACCAGAAACAAGGCTGATTGTCAGACATGCCGCTGAAGTTGTTGTACAGTGGGATTGGCACATATGTGCAGCCAGTACTGCCATAATTCAGACTGTCCATCAAACCACTGGCCATTTGGACTGTCCCAGGGAGTTGTCGAGGCCAGTAGTGCCAGTCTAGGGGAACCAACAACAACCTCAAGCAAAGCTTGAGTCCATAAACCCCTTATATGCAGTGCTCGATGTCTTCATGTTGTTGCTTTTTAATTCAGAGTGAACAAACAGTCATTTTTGGAGTCAATCTGACATTTCTTTTATTAATGGAACACTGTTTTTATTAGATCAGAAGTGATAAAATGTCTCAGGATGAAATGGGTTTTTAAAATTTCTTAATTAATGAGGGGATATTGATCATTAAGAGTGTCAATTAAGCAAATGTGCATAAAATGTCCAATATAAAGGAACAGCTATAATTAGTATGCTGGCAAACACTATTATCCCATCAATTAAAGACTTCTGTATCCCACCCAGAACTGAAATGAATCCTTCTGACCAAACCAGGAAACACATCAAAATGTCAGGTGCCAACGAGAACAGAAACAAGTCTCCAGGTGGAAGGAAGTGAAGGGGTCAGAAACAAAGAACTCATAAGTACAATAACATTGATTCGATAAAATGGTAGAATTTCTTACAAATTTTCAAGTTTATTTTAGGGAAAACTCCAAACTGCTTTCAAGATGATCATCTATTACTTGTGAGTATGAGTTTAGGTCCAGCTAAACAGGATCTCCTGTGGAAATAATATCTTGGACATTCATGATATCTGCTGTTTTTAACAGCTTTGTATCATTCTGTCTTTTACAGGTCTATGATGGGGTCGGGTAGAGAGCCTGATCTTGTGCACCTGGAGGCAAAGACAGTGGATGGTCGTAAGTACATCAGCTTCCAAATATTGTGGTATTCTGGACTGCCCTTATAGTCTTGTAACCACATAATATCGTGATGGAAATCTGACATCTCTTTAGTGATTCACTCATTTAATATAAGGGGTTTGACTGTTCCAAGGCAGGTCTGTCAGAGGAGAAGTCTTTCCAGCAAGGCAAAAAGTTGGGATTGACAGGCGTGAAAGAAGCCGAGAACATGGTGAGGAAGAATAGGTGATATGCAGTAATTGGAGTTAGTATATACAGCACTTTTCTTTCTTCCTGTGTGATTTTTGTTCATGGGAACATGGCATTGGAGAGAAGTTCCTGGGTCACAGAGTCTAGCTGCTGTTGTTTCACACAGTACATAATATCACCTTGTTCATAGCTTTACAGTTTTAACAGACCAGGGGTACTCTGCCTTAGGTACTACCTTTGAAAATAGCTCATTTCTGTCACATTAGAAACCATTTAATGACCAGTCTAAGTGTATCCTTCACTGTTATTGCTTGTCCTGTCATTGTCCTTCACTTTCATCAGCTCCTTTCCCTCCCTGCTTTGCCTCTTGAGGTGCTTTTCTCTGTTCCAGAAGCCTCCTTTACCTGCAACTCCAAAATATGCTCCTAATTGGCTGTAAATTCTCTCAGGTACCATAAGCCACCTGCTGGCCTTTTCTCCTCCCACCCATGCTTCCTCAAGGTTTATCTTTGAGCTCCACTGCCTTTGCAGATCTTTCTCCATGGATTTCTTTTCCACAACACTGGATTGCCTCAGGCAGGCATCACACCGAAAGCCTGGCTGCCATAGATCTCATCATTGTAATTCCATATTGTTTCCTCTGTAAATAGCAGCTTTGCTGCAATGTAACAAGCAGATTTTTACCATTTGCAATATGTAAGTATTAATGATACAGCCAATTAATTCCTTTAAAAATAGATAAAATTCTCCCCTGAATTGTACCCCCAAATGCAGTGATGTTACTTACAATGCGTATTTTGTCATCAGAAATTTAAAAACTGTCTGAAAAGGTAACTGTAAGGTAATCAGTTTTTTAACTCACTGAAATTGAGCATGAAAGAGAATTTTTTGGAAGATGAATTTTGAAAAGAAACAGTTGCGATAGAAACCATAAAGTTTTAAAGGTCTTTCTATTTCAAGATATGCAAGATTAGTAAAAGTGAAAGAATGTATTATCTCTATTTCTTATCATTTGTGATCTCTGATTATTATTTCTCCTCTCAATTTCACTTACCTGAACATGGTGTCAAAGCTGGGAACATGAGGCTTTCTAAAGCTCTAAATGAGAGTGAAATATTCTAAGAGGACAGTGCCTATTTCAACACAAGATATTACTGTTATAAGGCATTAAGAATTTGAGGTCATTGAGATGAAGCACTACAACTGATGTTTAAGGAGCTATATTCTGGTGATGCTTTTGAGGGATGTTCAGCTCACAGTGGGCAGAGAAAGTGCCATGCTCCAAATACCTTGAATGGTCTTGTCTGAGTTCTTAGGCTGTAATAAGAACATTTTGCACAGCTATAGCACATTTCTGCAAAAGACTTCTTGAGTGCTTAACAAATTAGTTAGCTTTATTACAACTCTTAAGGTGGAAACCAAGAAACAGGTAGGTGAAACTGGCCTCGCTGAGGAGTCAGGCATATTAGTAAAGAATTGTGGAATAACAAATTATTACTCATCAGCGGACCTCTAGTAACAGATTCTGTGCACTTATGTTGGCTTAGTTTTGAGGCAGCACAACTTAAGTTTTTCTGTTAGGCAGTGACAGAACCACTAATGTAAATGTAGTGGTGGTGTCAAACCTTCAGCCAGTGGTGACCCCTCTTGCAAACCAGTCATTCGGATGAAACTTCTGCTCATGAGTCAGGAGGTTCCCAGCTCAGCTCATTGGCAATATAAGAAAATGTGTTGGATTTTCAGTAAGTGCATGCTCTGTTTTGCCCATCGTTCCAGGGAGCAGAGAACTGTGGCAGAGGGCTGTGGCGGGTAGCTGGAAGCAGTAACCTTGGAACATATCACAACATTTTTTGCCAGAAGACATTTGGTAGCACTGCAGGTCACAGCATTCTGAGACTGAGACAGGCTAAGAGCGTGCACATGGTCCATTACTCTAGTTACCATGACCAACCTGGTATATTCAAGTCTCTTGGTTACTAGAGCTGCCTTCTAAGTACTAAATCAGTCTCCTTTTCCTTGGCGAAGTAACCATGACCCTCCAATGGATGAACAGAACTTTCTTCTCTGGAACGAAGCATGTGTGTCACTGCCAGTGGGGTGATGGGGTGAAGTGTGCTGAAGTGAGAAAGATACCTTTTTTTCAAGCTGAGGGTAATTTGCAAATAATTTTTCTTGGCTTTTTTGTGTAGGTTTTTTTTTTTAATATTCTTGCATTTACTTATTTATGTTTTGTTTGGAATATCTCTTTTGAGAGTTAACCAAGTGTAAAAATTCAATAAAGGGATTAAATTTGAGAAGGTAGACTTGCAAAAACAAGGCAGGGAGAAAGAAGGAAAGAAAGGGGAGTGGTATGGAAGCAACCACACAATCCATACAATAAAATAAAAGACCCTGAAGTGGAAATATAAGGGCTAAGCAAAAACCTGCTGA